ATAATAATTTTTACCTCATTTAATATAAAGATTGCTATAATAATTGAGAAATGGAATAATGTTTAGTTAATTGTAACATCATTTCTTACGTGACTATCTATTTTGTTGCCTCATTTATATTAGGGCAATTATCATGAACCAATATAGTTATTCTTATATTTACTTTTTTTTATTTCCCCTTTACTATTTTTTATTCTTTCATTGAACATTCTAAAGTCTCTCAAAGACTCAAATGGTCAACCTTCTACATTATGCAAAATCTATTGTTGTGTATTTATAAAAAGATCATATTTGTTCAAATTGCAAGCATTAAAACCTAATCAATACTATTTTAATATATTATATCAACTTATCAAATTCAGCGCAACACTATTTCGTTATCATCATATAAAAAATTTAAATTTTTTAGTCGGATTTTATTATTCTAACTAGTGTTGCTTATCGGACAGATCGGGCGGATAATTTCGCTTAACGGTTTGACCTATCGGATATTAATTTTTTAATTTACTAATCCTCTAGCCAACCTATAAGATATCAGTTAGTTCAGTAACAGATTAGCAATTATCGGACGGTTATCGGGCGATGTATCGGCTAACCTCTAATATCTATGGTAATTTTTTTCGATGAACGTACCTTACGAAAAGAAGGATGACTTTTAAGCAGTAACAAGATCAAGTGGATAAACTGATCCAAAATTTTCAACTGGTTTTCCCATTTTCATTGTCTAGTAGAAGCATCTTTGTCAATGACTCGATAAATAGATGCATATTTTTCATGTATATATCCTCAGTGCTTGTCTAAGTTGGCTGACTTGCTCTCTAATTTTTAAAGCAAAATAGATAATTATAGAAAAGTAAATAGGTATTCATGGTTTTACGACTTTAGCTTTTAGGAATTAGGATTAGCAAGGAAAATTATATAATCTCTTACAATGGTAAAATATTGAATAAGGCTAATACGACTAAAATAAAAATGTAAGTATGGTAACTCTTAATCGGAAATTGAATAATCCACCTCCCCACACCAATAAGCCATTAATTATAAAAAATTAATTTGTTCCCCAACTATTTATTTGATAATCCAAACCAATAAGTCAATAAGTCAATTTTATGATTGGCTTATCGGCTATGGTTCAGTTTTGAACACCCCTAATTCTAACTTTGTATTATATTTTTTTTTATTGATGTTACATTATTTTTGTTCTTACTCATAATGTTCGTGTATATCCTACCTCTCCCGACTTTATTTATAAGATTATTATACTAAGTATGTTGTAATTCTATTTATATAAAAATGTTTTTTTTTGAATTGTTGATTTTCTTTTTTATAAGTAAATAATTTTTTCTAAGTTTAAAAGAATTTTGAAGCTTCTTATATATTTATCTTTTTTTTTATAGAAATAATTATAGGAAACAAAATGAAAAATAATATAACTACTTTATAGTGCAAAAACTGAATCAACCGATAAATCGAACCAAAAAAGGTGTTATTGATTTATTGTTATTGGGTTATTGAATTAACGGATTTTTAATGATTTTATAAAAAAAAAAAATATCGGGTTATCGGTTCGATATTGGTTTTTAATATTGGGTTATTGGGTAAACCAATAACCTATTAAGACTAGTAATTTTCTACATTTACTTGTACATAAATATTATATATTAATCTCAATACCTTACTAGTTACTGTCTTTATGTTTTAGCCTTCAATTCACACTTTAAAGTGACTTTTAGTTCACAACTTCACATTATACAAAACGTCAAAATCTAAAGTAAGAACCTTATTCCTCTTAATTTCTTTTTGTGTTATACTTGTATAGTTTTTCATTACATTATTATGCTGTCGCGTCAAATTTATTAGAGAAGTCATATATTTATTATATGTATTTTCTTATTGATTAAACCGAATATCGAACTGTTAAGGACCAAAATCAATAAATTAAAAAAAATTCTTATTAATTTAACGTATTTAAAAATAAAAAATCAATAAACCAAACTGATAATATATAAAATGGAACCGACGGATGCGCACACCACTCTATTGTCAGTTTGTCCCTTCATTATTTTTTTGGTAAACCATGTATTGTCAATTTATCACGTGTTAATGTAGAACACTCGAATTTCCCTATTGGCTACTGGCTGAGGTCCACGACCAATCATTTAGGGACCATATGGTGCATAATAATATGAGATTATTATATAATTAAATCTGAAATAAAATATATATTAAATTAATAAATAAATAAAAATTATTTGACTCATTATGATATTATAAAGGGAAAGGAGTCAAAAATACCCCTCAACTTTAGTTTATTAGTTGACTTTGTCCTTGCCGTTAAACTAAAGTTAATTTTACCCCTATCGTTATTAATTTCACCATATATATCCCTCATTTAACGGAAATCTCCAAATTGACTCAAATTAACCCGAATTCTTAAAAATGATCCATTCCCCATTTTAAACCAATGCCCGACCCGTATAACTCATTCCCCCTTTTACCCATTCTCTCAAATTAACCCAAATCCTCCATTGAGGTCCTATTAACTAATTCAAACTATCACCAATCTCCTCTCTTCGTCCCCCAAATCTCTACCCAAATCCTCTCTCCAATCCTACCTTCCTCACCTCACTCCGACTCCGACATTCTTCGTCGTCGTACAGGTCGGCGTTGGATATCACTCGTCGTTGAATGAGAAAGCTCTCCGTTCAGCAAAAACGAGTGTGTCTCGCTGCCGCTTCCGATCTCCAAAAGGTCTCTCTCAAAATATGTATAAATAGCTTCATCCTTGTCAAGATCTAGACGTGAGAAAAGAAGAAATATAAGCTTTTATAGTTAATGTTGTATGAAAATTGATCCATGTATTCGATTCCAATTATATATGTTTTTGATGTTTTAATTTATTTTTTCTATTTTAAGTCAACTTTCATTGTCAAAAAGAGATGCTATGAAGCAACTAACTTTAAATTTTGTATTGACTTTTTCATAATGTGGTCGTATTAGTTCACTTTCAGGGTGCTGGTGGATGTATAGACGTTGTTACAACAACAATTCAAGTATTGGAAGTGCTTCAGTTACATCATGCTTTTTTCTTGAAAACCTTATAATGGAATCTATTTTCAACATCTCAAGATGACATAACTGTGTTATAGAAACTTGGAAGAATTATGCACAACAGTTATGTTTTCTGTTGGTCAATTGCTTAAGAGGTGAAGAGAAAAGAGTGGTGATTTGGGTAGGAGTGGATAATAGGAGGAGTGAGGTGAGGAAGGTAGGATTGGAGAGAGGATTTGGGTAGAGATTTGGGGGACGAAGAGAGGAGATTGATGATTGTTTGAACTAGTTTACAAGGCTTTAATGGAGGATTCGGGTTAATTTGAGAGAATGGGTAAAAAGGGGAATGAGTTATATGGGTCGGGGCATTGGGTTTAAAATGGGGAATGGTTCGTTTTTAAGAATTCGGGTTAATTTGAGTCAATTTGGGGATTTCCGTCAAATGAGGGGTATATATGGTGAAATTAGTAACGGTAGGGGTAAAATTAACTTTAGTTTAACGGCAAGGGCAACGTCAAACAATAAACCAAAATTGAAGGGTATTTTTGACCCTTTTCCCTATTATAAATTACATTTTTTTCATATCAATATAGTGAAAAATTACATATCATTAATCAAAACTCATATTATTTGACTCTTAAAATATAAATTTATAAAAAACAAAAAAAACGAAAGGAGTATAAATTATATATTAAATGTCGTATTAATTTATGTTAGACTTAATAATGATATGCATCTTATTCCAACTCACTTAAAATTGTTTTATTCCATCTTTATAATAAAATAAAGACGGAATGATCTGATGAACACTTATACTTGTATGAGTTTGTATTATAGACCCTTCTGCTTAATCATTTACCAACTAAACCCCTTAACCCATTGAAATTTAGTATTTTAAACCCTTTTCTCACATGGTGGATAGTGCGTGTAATACACCTCCTACATGTCAAATCCCACCTCATTTTTACCTGCCACGTAGGAAATAAAATGGTAAAATTAAATTAAAGCCCCAAAATTTTATTTGAAAAATCTTTTTCTCTTTTTCCAATTATCTTTCAAATTTCTCTTCTTCCTCCTCTCTCACTCCACATGTTTTCGCTAGTAAAATGCAGTACCAACAAAATCGTCCGTACACCGCGATGTGGTGGTGGAACTACCACTCGAAGATGGAGAGGGCGATTGCTCCACATTCGATTTGGAAAAAACAGTGATGACCCAAACGACTGTGATACTTGCTCCAAAACCCTAGATCTCACGACTCGTCCAAATTACTCAACCCTCAGATTCTCTTCATTCACTCATCCTCCATGTTTCTTTTTCTTTTTCTTCCCCTCTTTGTAATTTTGGATCAATTTAACTTTTTAGTTTTTTATGATTTGTATTCTGACAATTTGCAGAAATTGGAGTTGTTGATAGCTCCAACGATGTTAAGTTCGGAGGAAACGAAATACTTGTTGAAGAATAGGATCGATAAGTCTATTTATTTGTTTGGAGCAATGAAAGAAATTTGTTACTTGTAAAAATTCTTTGTAGAGTAATAAAAACTGAATTTGTTCAAGAAATAATGAATCCTTTGAAGAAGATGAAAGGCAACCTGAAACAATTAAAAAAATGGAGAAAAAAATTAGAGATAAGTAGAAAAGCCTCAAAAATAAGTTTTTTCTTTGTCCAACAATGGTAAATGAATAAATGGGGAAGAAGATACTCTTAATTAAGTCAAAACTTGACACTTTGAATTTTTTTGTAAGACTTCACGCTCTTATTTTATATGTATCACACGCACTTTGAACAAAAATGCCACATAGGATGACAGGTCAAAAAAAGGGTTTAAAATATCAAGTTTCAATTGATTTAGGGGTTTAGTTGATAAAAGATAAAGTAAAAGAATCCAGAATACAAACTCAAGTATTAAGGGATCATACCATTTCGCCTAAAATAAATTAATATAATTTCAGCATAATTTAGTCCGCTTGTTCAAGTAGTCTCTCTCTTCTCATCAATCTTTCTTGTTTTTTTTTTTCAAGAAACCCAACACCCCCTTTTGAGATTGCCATGGATTGCTTTGAGTTAAGCTCAGAATCCCCATATGAGCTTCTGCTTAAAGTTGCTTTCTTGATACCCATTTCTCATTATTTCTTGGGGTTTCTGTTTTTACTATTTGTTTTTCTCTATAATTTCATAGAGATGTACTTCATACAAGAATTATTTACTGGATTTAGGGGAAAGCCTGTTTCTTTGACCTTTAATTCTTGCTGTGACCTCTATCAAGAAGTGGTTTCCAAATGTAAAACTCTTAATGGCAGGTAAAAAAACTGATTAAGAAAAATTTAATCTTGGTACATTTGAATGCTTTTGGTTCTTGATCATATGTGGAACTTTGGAATAATGTTGATGATGATTTAGGACCATTCAAAAAACCCATTTTATCAGGTGGATTGTTAGTCTAAATCATGTATTAATATATGTTTTTGAGCAATTGTTGTTGTAATCAATTAATTACTCCCTTTCAAGAGTTCATCAAGTTTTTCTTTGATTGGAATTGTTTTATGTATTTTGAATTATTAATTATTGTGATTGTATTCCATGGATATGATAGCTATCTAGTGTGATGTTCTTATCTTTGGTGTAGGGTAGAGCAGTTTAGTATTTATAGAACTTTTACATAGGCTTTGAATATATGAATTTAATTTTAAAAAACTTAAAGCTTCTGTGTCTGAATTTATGGTCAAAGTGTAGAAGATTGAATCTCGAAATTCCAATTGTGCCACGTAAACGGGGACAGAAGGAGTATATCTTATAAGCAACAAAGAAGTGTTAATTCTAGACAACATACTTTACTGTGTCTTGCAAGTGATAGGATTGTCGTAATCCTGAGTTTTGTACTGAAGTTTGTATGTCATGAGTATACATGGCTTTTTGTTCTTTATGTTTTGGAATTTTTCCTATTGTGCATTGCAGGTTTTCGTCTACTCCGTGGCTTTGCAGTCCTCATCTACAGACAGCCTTTTTGCAGTTCTTTGGAAGGGCACCTGCTTGCAGCTACCGAAGGTGACAAATACAGTTAACAGACTTATTTAGTTTCACCTCTTCTTTTTTTTTTTCTGCTCATACTATGATACTATCAGTTTTGGCAGACATTTAGCTCACTGCACTTATTGTCGGCAAGGCAGTTATCTTTGAGATTGTAAAAAGATCATATTCACATATCTTAGTTTTCACAGATGAATTGCTACATTTTGGTCACTAATGCATTCTTGTCTACAGACAGATATTTCAATTGTCTGATGGTGGGACAATAGCTTTGGATTGGCTAAGGAACATCGATGGTAAAGTACATTCTAGTCACCGTCATTTCAAGATGGATTATTTCAACTCATAATTTGATTCAATAAGCTTGTATTTTAGAAATCAATATACTTCAAAATAACGAATAAGAATCTGGAATATGTCAATGTACGTGGTTAATTTCTCTACAAGACTGAAGTCTAGTCTTTATGGAGTTCCAGTAGTGAAAGTGTTTTCTAGTCATAGAGAACTTTTCCCAACTATGTTGATTAACCAATTCTAAAGGTTTTATGTTCTAGACAACTTAGACCTTATGAATGGATGCTTTGGACAATTTGAAAGGCGGTCCTCAGTACATATCAACGAGGAATTATTGAAGCAACTTAAAAAAGTGTAAACAAATTGAGTTAAGGAGGACCGAATTATAGTTTTTTTGTTGTTACAGGAGAAAGTTCAGGGAGAGAAAGAAGATGATAGTATGTTTTGCTTCGCCATTTATTTTGTGTAAGAATAGCCAATGAAGGGTGATAAAAGTACCATAAAGTAGAATAAAAAGGCTATGGAAGAACCTCTTCCAACTCCATATGTTAGGATGTGGAGAACCCCTTTTGAATTTGTAGAATGAACCAATAAAAGATTGAATTTATATTTTTTGGGTACGTGATGGAAAGCCGGTGTTTGAAGCTTTATTCTCCCCTTTCTATGAAAATGTGATTTTTTATGCTTAGATGACTTGCGATTTTACCGTGTTTTTCTCAATCATCATTGTGCCTGCTTTTGAGGTGGCTTATTCAATAAATTACTTTGTTGAAGATACAATTAAGTAAATAAAAGTGTGTTCTATCTAACAACTTAAGCTTTTAGATGAGTTGATCACACGCTTTAACAAACTTCATTGTATAAACGAAATTCTGATTTTTTTTTCCTTTAAAAAAGAACCATAAATGACTTCCGTTGACTAATAGTTATTTTAGCTTATTGAAATACCTATGTTTAAGGTGGGCTTGGAATATCTAATTGGTTTCATTTTGATAGCACTTGATATCGGTTATGGATCATCCCTGCTAAATATGCAAAGCTTCTCTCTTTAATCATTTGCTTTAACAAGTACTTGTCTTAAGTTCAAGATCTCACCAGATCAGTTAATTATTGATTCCCTAATGCTTTTATATACTACTTAATGGAGTAAATTTCCACCAATCCTGTTTCTTTTTTATTTGTTAGTTAAAAAGCCATCCATTGAACGTTTTGATGGAGTTCAGAGTGATGATAAAAGTCCCATCATGCTAGTGATTCCTGGTTTAACAAGTGACTCTGATTCTGCTGTAAGCTTTCGTCCACTCTTCTTCTGCTGCCTTCAAAATTATGATTTTCTTGCTTGTTTAATTTTTTTTCTTTTGGTGAATCAATTTTGGGGCAAATGTAATTTCTTCCTCATTCGAGTTTTTATTCTCTTCTGTTCTTTTCTGTTTATAAACATTTTTCTTCCCTTTTCCTCTCAATAGATATTATCAGGCCTTCTAACTTTGACAAAATTGTAGTATTTCAACTTTATACTAGAGTTGATTGAGCTCTATCATATGATTCTTTGAGATTACGTGTTGTTCACTGCAAATATTCGTTTTATTCTTTCTTAAATCTGCTTTAACTTAGCAGTACATAAAGCATCTTGCTTTCAAGATGGCCAAACGTGGATGGAATGTCGTTGTGAGCAATCATCGGGGTCTCGGTGGAGTGTCAGTAACTGTGAGTACTCCATCCTTGAGCAAAAACTTTATCTTTTCCAGTTTAGTTGCTTTTGATAAGAGAAAATGCGATCTATATTTCCGTCAGTTGAATTTTTTGTCAGCTGAGAGTTTCAATGAACTTTCCGTTAGTTGCTAGATCACATTTTTCATAACATAGCTAGAAGCTATGGCTGAGAAAATATAGGAAACTGAAAATTTTCATAGTATCTTATTTGTCCTCTTGAACTCTGAGCCTGTAAATTGTCTCTCTAAACATTAATAAATAAAACTAGAAAATAGCAGAAGTTAAATAGTGAATTTAATGCAGTAGTCTAAGCCTCTAAGGTGCATAACTCTGCTAGTAAAATGTTTATTGTGCTATCATTATATAGTTTGTGGACTATTGAACAATGAAAGCTCAAGATTCATGATATCTGCTGGCAGTCTGATTGCTTTTATAATGCTGGATGGACGGAAGATGCCCGAAGAGTCATTGACCATCTCCACACCCAATACCCTCAGGCTCCTTTATTTACTGTTGGCCTTAGCATTGGTGCTAATGTTCTGGTACGGCATTATATATTTTGTAATTGAATATTCTATTATTTTCCTTGTATGACCACAAAATTCTGCAACACTTATGTACTAAACAATCTTCTTTATGGTTACCTGAAAAGTGAACCTACATTTAAAGATAATGGAAGCAAATTATCATAGCTTTTTGCAGTAAATATTTTCAGAGGTTATTGTCAAAAAGGATCATATACATGAACACACAACAGGTACACAAGCATATGACCACTGTCTCGATGGATTTCATAACATTTAATTTGTCAGTTCTTCATCCTTATATACCAAATCCCTAGTGTATAGAAACATTATTACTGTTACAAAAATTTCTGCAGTAGTACAGAAATTCACATCTAAATAATATATTTTCCGTTTACTAGTTGGTCCATCTGATTTAGTTTGATATGTTACAAACCTTAAGCATTAATCAATGTGCTAATGATTCAATTTCCAATGTTTTTAAGTAAATGGGCATTCTTCTTCTAAATTTTGAGAAGCCAGTGAGATCAGGCATATGCATTATGGCATATGTTCTTAACGAAGCCAATAACTATTTTACTGACAATTACTAATTTCCAGGTAAAATATCTTGGTGAGGAAGGAGTTAATACTGCAATTGTTGGGGCAGCTGCAATATGTTCTCCTTGGGACCTTTTGGTTAGTATCTAGACCAACTAATCTGCATTATCTGACTTTTATTAAGGTATTGATGTATTGCTAATTTCTTTGGTTTCATACATGTCATTCTGTATCTGGTATTTCTTCCCACTAAATTGGATTCTACTACATATTGTTTGTATGTTGGGTCAAGGGTTATTCTGGATGGTATGATCTGTTGGATTATCATGATCTGGAAAGATTGTCTTGCCTGAAACAATTCTATGAAGATGCTAGATGAAGATAGCGATGGTGGAAGCCTAATTCAACAAAAGTCAAATTAGTCATTTCTTAAGTTTATTCTGTACCATAAGTACCTGATTTTGTTATTCTGTCCTTTGCTTAGTTGCACAAGAATTCATCCCTGCTTCTCTCTATATATCTGAGTCAAATCCACTTTTCTCTTTCTTTTCAGATTTGTGACAGGTATATTAATCCCTCTCTACCTCGCACGAGGTAGTGGCAAGGTCTGCGTACACTCTACCCTCCCCAGACCCCACCTAGTGGGATTTTACTGGGTTGTTGTTGTTGTTGTTGTTGACAGGTATATTAATCGCAGGCTTGTGCAGAGAGTCTATGACAGAGCTCTGGCAATTGGATTAAGAGGTTATGCCAAGCTGTAAGTCCCTGCAGTCTCCTTTATCAGTCTGATATTGTATTTCGTTTGATGGCTTTCCTAGCTGTGATTATGGCACTACTCCTAAGTTAATTCTATGTTCTTTAATACTCTTGGTCGTTTTTTTCAAATTGGCCTTTATCAGATGTCCTAATTCTTTTGTGTGGCAAAATCTGAGTTTTGCAGGCATCAGACAGTAATGTCTCGGTTGGCAGATTGGGAAGGCATTGTTAAGGTCATCTATTTCTCTTAGTCGTCTCTTGTCAGTGATTTATCTTCTACGACAGTCACTTAAATCAATCAATCAACTGAGCAGCAATCCAATGCTAATTGGGCTGGTTATATAAGTCCTCTTTTACCCATTCCACTCTCGGGTTGGTATCATCATGGAACCCTTGCCCATTTAGCACTAAACCCTGGTTCAGATGTAGCATGTGCTTTGTATTCGACTTCAATCTTTAAATGATTTTTGATACTATGACTATCATGCTAGGACCTGCTAAGAAAGACCAACTTATGTGGTGTTTCCTTAATTGAAACTTATTGAGTTGTTGTAATCACCGAGGTTCGAGGTTTCTAGCATGCATGATGCGACCAAACTATAAATTTTCCTATTAAGGAGCATAGTGCTGACTTAACATAAAATGGTGGGTGTTTTAGTTGGGAAATACAACATGTGTGAATGCATCTGGAATAGTAGAATATAAGAAGTCTATATGTCGAAAGATAGTAAATGCTATATCTAACGTCCTGATAAATTTTTTAATTATCTTAGTGCAAAGGAAGGACGAAATATAATTATGTAAGCCCCAGGGTAGTCGTACCTTCTCATATATTGATGTCTATCCCTTTTAGTTTAGTTTCGGGTGTTCCTCCTGAGATGAGACATCTACTACAGAGAAAACAGGAAATAAAACTAGTATAGAGGACAAGAAACCTTTGATGCTCTTTAAACTTTTAGCACCATTGCAGTATCAAGAAGCTTGTGAAACACTGGTGCCCTCAGATAAACGGTTATATATAATATCCTTATCCTAAATTTAACTTCAAGGATGTGGTTAAGTCCACTTTTTTGACACCTACTATGGCACATCTGATTCATTTTTTAAGAGTTAATATAGTTGATAATATATGCAACTAACTTACTAACAAGTAGATGATCTATCTTTTTCTGTATTGCTTATCCTGATTGCATTTTTTCTTTGTTTCTCTTGCAGGCACGTTCTGTAAGAGATTTTGACCATAGTTCTACTCGTGTTCTTGCTGATCTTGAGGTAACACAAATCTGCCTCCTTTTTCAGTACATCTGTTCGATTGCTAATTAATCAGCATTTATTTCCATCCCCTCTCCCCAAGACTGTTGATACATATTACAGGAAAGCTAGCTGTACCAGTTATATAGGAAATGTGATGGTTCCTCTCCTTTGCGTTAGTGCCTTGGATGATCCAGTTTGTACAAGGGAAGCAATTCCATGGGATGAATGTCGGTATGTCATCTTGTGTGTTGCACGGTCTCTCCTTTTAGCTTTAGTCGAATTGCCAGATAGGACAGAACGCTACTATGTGAATTAATAGAGTTGCAAGATTATATGTTTGTGTGGAGAAAGGATATAATTGTATAGTTATCAAGTAAGACATGAAATAATAATTTAATTTGTCAGCCTGGCGCCAAACATAATGGAAACTAAGGCGTTTGTGCAAGAAACCTTACCTTATCTATTGCTGGTTGAGGCTTGCTTATATCGACCTGTTGTTAGTTCAAAGTCATTCGCATGTCATCTTTGTATGCCCCTGATTGTTTTCTTTTTTTATTTTTTTTTATTTTTAATGTGTGTGTTGTGTGCCTTTAAATATTGTATGATTAACATGATTCTCTTCCAGGGCAAACAAAAATATTGTACTAGCTACCACGCACCATGGAGGACACTTGGGATATTTTGAAGGGATGACTGCAAAAAGCCTCTGGTAATTTGCCTTACATTCATCAGATATGGTTTTTGGCATTGTAATTTATTTTCTTTTTCGTTTTGTTAAATTAATGCTTCTTGTCATTATTCAACCATCTAGTTCTTTACTTCTTTTAGCATGCGAAAATGCTCCAAAATGTAAAGATAAAAAAAAAAAACTGAGTTCTCTGCGAGTATAGACTTTGGGGTTGTAGGAGATCTAAATTAGAGAATTCAATAATATGTATAAGTATTCAGATGTTTACTTGTCCTTTCTAGTTCTCTATTAAAGTGTGATGTCTACTTTAGTAGCATGAGCTATGGCAACAGTACTTGGTGAGAACAAGTTTATGATGAAAAACTTGAGTTCTCCTATCCGTGACTACAGACTTTGGGGTTGTTGGAGATCTCAATTAGAGAATTCAGTAATACGTATAAGTATTCAGATGTATTACTTTCCCTTTCGAGTTTTCTATTAAAGTGTGATGACTACTTAGTGGCATTAGCTATGTTAACAATACTTAATGAGAACAAGTTTATGATGTGCTCCTTATGTGTAGGTGGGTTAGGGCAGTTGATGAATTTCTTTGTGCTTTGAACTCCAGCTCATTGATCCATAGCAAAAAGGTATGCAAATTTGTACACTCACCTTGAAACTGCTCATACTTTATAGAGATCAGCTCACATACTTAGTTAATTAGCTATGCTGATTGATAGCTCTATTTGTTAGTTATTATGAAGCCCCCGGACAAACAATGGTGAATTCTTGTATATCAGAATGAGATTTGATGTTAAGAGTGATTGGGAGTCTTTATGTCATTGTATTATGCAGGTTACTACAGTGCATAGTTCCCTGGAAACATCCATTGATCCACCATATGTGAATATTAGAGAAGACGGATTGGTGACTGCGTTTAGCAATGATCCATCAGGTGAAGTAGGAAGTCAGCAGAATGAGCAGCCGGTCGAAGATGACCCGGCTGGAGATAGGATTAGAGGTGTCAATGGTGCAATGCAGCTAGAAACAAATGCAACAACTCAGTTTGATCCGAGAAGTGAGAGCACCAGGTTGGAAGATGCTGGTTCGAGAGGACCTGCAAAAATGCTGGTGACTCCTGAACCAGATTTTGATGCAGTGATTGTTCCTGTTAAAAGATGTTTAAATCAGCTTTCTCGGCGTAGTAAGATTTCAATGTGGGTACTTGCATATATTGCTATCATAACCACTTGGCCAATTCTTGGTTCAGCTTCACCAATGTTCTTCAAGAAAAAGCTGCGGAACATCTTCTCACTGAAAAGATGACGATGCCATGCATGTAGCAGTGGCTAAGCTCTATTCATTAGTACTATTTAAGATACATTTATGTACAATTGCTGGGGAAGAGGGAAATAGTTAAACCCCAAAGTTGAATTCGGGAATGGCTGTACTGTTTCTTGTAACTTCAAAATGATCATATAATAACAGCCACTTGTTAAAAAGATTTTCATTGTTGCCTGATTATTTCACGTCTGCTAGACAAAACAGCCTCTCTACCTATAGGTAGAGGTAAGGTTTGCCTATACTCTACCCTCTCCAAACCTCATTTGAGAGATTACGTTGGATATGTAGTTGCTGAACAAGATCCATAACATTCTTGGAAAACAATTTGGCCAAGTGGTCAAGTCATGCATTTGTTAAATCATATATATTCCTGCAGGTTATTTTAGTCTACACCAATTTCCCAATGCATGAGGTATTGGATCTCCTGCAGAGCAATCAAGGTCCTTTCTAGGCCTACAGTCTCGCATTTTCTACGGCCATTACTGATAAAAGCACTCATAAATCATCAAATCTTGTATTGCAACAATACAATTGTGGGCTAAATGATGATTGGGATAAAAGAACACCAGTAAATTTTATAAAAAGGTCTACCAATGTGGTGATTGCTTCATCAGCTCTGTAGTAGCCAGATAAACTACATCAACTTTGTAGCAAGCAATCATTAGACCACCAAAATTCAAGTCTAATATTTTCTACTTAGTGTAATTAGAAACTGTTCTCAGTTCTAACAAAATATTATTTTAACTGAGTGCACCCATTACTTCACAATAGGCACCAGACTAATGCAAAATCCACAACCTGTGGCCAAAATAAGGAAGACTCCTAGACTACTTAACTAAGATACAGAGCCAACATTGAGACATCCCCCGTCTACCTAATACAAGAAGCAAACTCACTGAGACACACAATGACCATTGATGAGATTCAGAGAAAATTGAGATAGCATATAAAATCAATTCTACCCAGTACGGGTCATCTTCATTTTTGGCATTGCCTTCTTCATCTGCCGAGCACGGTCTTTAGCCTCTTTCTTGCGAAGTGCCTCTGCACCAAGTTTAGCCTCAGCTTCCTCTACCTTCTTTCTCTGTTCAGCCTTCTTCCTCTGCAGTGCTTCTTGCCTGGCATTCTGAAGTTCTTTGTAAATTTCTTGAGCAACCTTCATTCTTGCTCCGTCAGTTTTAGTGCGGGCCTGAACAATATAAAACAAAAGTTAGAAAAAATATGAACGAGTTCAAATTTAACATACAGTAAAAGCTTCATCCATAATTATTACTCACATGCGAGCTCAGCTTGTATCGTCCAATTAAGTCGATGTAATAAGGTACAAGAGCCACAAGGCGGGTCATGTCAGCCATGTTTTTGGCATCAGGGAGAGCAAACTTGAACACCAGCATCTTCTTGTGTGACCCCAGATGTTGATCAGAGAAATGCATCGAGATGAAACCTTTACCAAATTTCTCATATGCTTTGTCACCGAAAACCTGCAGGTATCAACATAAAACTATATTACATATTACTCACTTAGCCTGCCATTCAGAGAGACCGTGTGAACCAAAGAATCAAACAGTCCCACAGAAGAGGAGAGAGCAAGTGAAAAGAACTCTCTGGGCGAGGTATAGAGGACTAGCCATGGACAAATAAGCATAATAATGGGGTAGGTTACAACCACAGTAATGAAAAGTAGTTGCTAAAACTGGATAAATATGTCCATGGAGCAGAAGAGAGAGGCGTAGACACACGCGAACAGTTGTGATTTCAGATGTAGTCAAATTCCTTTTCCGCAGAAAAGTCTTTCCTTGCAACATTTGTAATGGAATTACCACTCCTCTTGGCACAAATACTATTACCCTTCAAGTCACACAGTTCAATACTCCTGCACTATTGACTAGGATTTGTCCTATGTACCAAAAATAATACCCTTAAACGAGCATCGATTCAAGGGAAAAGATAGAATGCTTCAACTCACAACAGTTTCATCAAAAAAACTAGAAATAATAAGAATGGTAAATAGCTGGTTTACTTTTTTTTATCAGGTAAAGTGTTTTATTGATAATAACAAGGCCACCATGGCTGTATGTAAGTGTCAAACCAAAAAAAGGAGAAACCTACAAAATATGGTTCTCTCCGAAAGACACCCAATCCTCTATACAAGCAGGAACTACATGGGAGCACCACGAGAAAATAACGAACCGGAGACTACTCATCAAATGAGCAAAGCTGATCTCCACACCTTCAAAGGCTCTCCTATTGTTCTCTTTCCAAATGACCCCACATTAAAGCAAGAGGAGTAAAATCCCAAGCCTTGTGCTTTCTTCTCCTACCTCCATTCTTCGACTGAACATCAACTCTACCAGATTACAACATATTTATATTTAAGAAAATCTACTCTTCAAAATAAGGAATTTCACTTAACCAGTCAATCCCAAATTCCAAGGGGAGCCTTGGAGCACCGGTTAAGTTGTTTCTGCGCAACCTATAGTTCATGGGTTCTAACCGTGGAAGCAGCCACTAATGCTTGCATTAGGATAAGACTATCTACGTCACCTCCTTGGGGTACAGCCCTTCCCCAGAATCTGTTAACATAGGATGTTTTGTACACCGGGCTGCCCTTAATCAATCCCAAATTCAACAATTAGAAATTTCTTTATCTCATCAATCCTAAGCAAAAAATGACACCTACTTTTTCCTCATAAACCAATCTAAAAGAAATTTGTATCAAGTACTTCATCGCTACCCCAATTTACATGACCAACTCTCTACTTATCATGCGCCAGAAAAAAGAGTATTATATTTCTTCATCGAAATTGATGATGACACTATTTTACACTGTTTGCTTGGGAGAAAAGAGGAAGGACTGAAGTAAGTGAAGCGTAAGGAGTCATTTCAATATAAAAGGGGAGCACAGAAAAGCAAATGAGTTGGGTACCCACTCCACCCTCCAATTAGCATCTATACTGAAATTGGAAAAAAAGAATTAATAAAGTATCTTCATGCTTTTTAATCGGTGAAAGGAAAGTATCTTCATTTAGTTTTTGTATTAGATGTATTGATGATTTATATTCCTGACATTAAAAAACCAGTTCGTCTCTTTTTCCACTCTAGGAACCACATATAGTGCCATTTCAATAATGACTTTGGGATGACATTGTCATACTACTCTCTCCTCTTCTAGCTATTTTAACATCAGTTTATTTTCAAAAATCCCCAAAAAAGGAAGTACTTTACCATCTCTGTCTCTAAGAAACTCTACCGCACATTGCCCGCTCTCTTTCCGATTCAATAAATCATCAGCTTCCACAAGGCGTAATTACTTTGACCTTTCATCATCACTTTTGACTAATAGCTTCATAGTTAAAAAAAAATTCCTATAACACCATAATTCTCCACATCCTGAAAATTAGTAACATCAAGCAGAAGGGTTGCAATGCTCCACCAATAATCTCTATTAGACACTTTGGCTGCCCAATAAGGGCCACCGGAAACATACAACAGACCAGAATGACAATTGAGTTAGATTAGCTAGTTTCACAAACATTCCAGCAAAAGAAAAACAAAATTAATCTAGCACAAATCAGCAACGCAATCAAACTGATATTCATATTATTTCTAACAATATAATATCTGAGAATACTATGTACTATGAAAGCATGACTGAAATAGCACTCAAACTAGACAGAGCCAAACCTGATCAAGCACGGTTTCATTGAGCATATCCCCTGCCACCTCCTTTGACTCAGCTACAACAGCTAACTCCTCAGCAATCCACTTCTTACCACTTGGTGGACTCACCAATGATGCAAATCTCTGCAGATCTGTAGTCTCCTTTTGCATTGTCTTGGCCAATTTCTTCTTAGCCACTGCAACAACCACATGATCCATTGCATCATCATTCATATACACCTCAAAGGTTATCTCATCTTTGCAAGGCACCACCATATTGTACAACCTGGAAATCAAATCGTGCCTACTTTTAAGCTCCATGGTAGCCAGCAAACCCTGGCAAAATCTCCTCCCACTTGCATAAAACTTGAACACATTTTGTCCTTCTTTTAACAACAACGGTGAATCATCAGTTTCCCCAACACCCAACAAACTGAAATTCTTATCAAATATAGAGTCCTTTGTTGCAAATTTACTAGCCCAAGCTAAGGCTAATTTCTCATTCTCTTTTTTCCCAGTAAAATAGTTTATAACAAACATAATCAAAAACGAAACACAAACTATCTCAACAGTATAAGACGATATGGATTTCGGACTTTCAGGCTCAGACTCTGGTTCAAGTTTCAAACCGGGATCGGATTCAGAAGAAGCAGCAGTGTCGGATTCCGTAATTAAAGGTGAATCAGAGGGTGGAGATTGAGGGATACCTTCGAACTCATCCTCATCCCAGACCTCAAAGGATGTCGAGGCGGGTTTCGGATCGGACGGCTGAGATGTAACTTGAGGGGCGGGATCAGATGAAGGACGAGGAGGACCATGATGGGATTCAATAGGGTCGGAAACTGATAGGGTAGTGGTAGGGGGAGGAGGAGGGAGGTGTTTAGCGGCGGATATTGGTTCGTCGGAGTCCCCAAAGTCGTCGATTTCATCGGCGTCGAAACCCTCGAAGTGGCGGCTCTCGGCGGAGACAGGGGAGAGATGGTGGATGAGAAGGGATAGGATGGAGAAAAGGGCAATAAGGTAAAAGAGAGTGTCGCCTCTAGGGAGGATGAAGGAAGAGAGAGGAGAGAGGGAAAAGGAGTGCTTCGCCATGAGAGAGTTTGGATTTGATCTCTCTCACCTTCGCTTCTGATAAGCAGATACAAGTGGAAGCAAAATAATGTAGAACGTAGAATTTTTTGAGAAAATATATATAAGTAGATGTATGTGTGTACTTTGCACTATATGCACATGATTAATAATCTCTTAGCCTAATGATTAGATTCAACTTAGGTTTGATTATTTACACCAAATTAATGTAGTAACTAATTTAATGAAGTGAAATTGTACGTTATCTTTTCACATATGTCATATATTTATTGATTTGATATAAACAATCAATTGCACATGAGTTTCAAATGTTGTAAAACTCATATGCATGTGATAAGTACCTTTTGATTCTTAACCAACTATAATCAGATATAGAGTTTAGAGAACTATCTTACCCTAATTTCCCTTTTATTTATTTTTGCATAAATACTGCCCATAATAGGTAGATTTTATGTCAAATAATAATAAATATATTAACAATATTGAAACATAGTACTACTACATTAAGAGTTGATAATATAAGTTTATTTGCAGTTTCTTAACAAAGAGGTGTACATTAATAGATATTAATTATTGACTTAGGTACCTATATGTCGCGATTACTGCATACATTAGTTCTTGTTTTATTATTTTGGCTCACAGCAAGGATGTGAACCGTTCCAGTCCAAACAAAACACACCAAGATTTGGATTTTTTTTATTATGTAATAAAAGGAGTAACCAGCTTGGTAATTTGTTTGATGTTGCAACCGTCACAACCCAATTCGTTCAAACTTGGACAATTGGGTGAATTACATTTGTATGAACTGAACTTTGACACTCGTAAAAGATTAATTGAATGTTTTTGATACATTTATTTTTCAAATTTATCAATCTGCTGTCTTTACCCCGCAAAGCATGTCTTGTTCCTTTCCAGCCAAACATAGTTCTTCATTAGCTTTTTGGGATAATATCCAACGATTAATTTTGTGGGATGATTCATGATCAATTAAGCAAAGAACAAATTTTGTCCTACCCCTGAGATCAGCAAACAGATAGTCCATCACCTCATCCACGAGATATCAGCAACCAGACAGTCCATCGATAGCAGCAACTTTCCTTTTTCTAATCGTACAAAAGGTTGACCTCTCCTAGCTATATCTGGGCGCGCAATGATCACCTGATCCATGGCTTGGTGGTTATTTTCTTTGTTTATCTTCTTCTAACAGCAGCTGGATTATAGATCTGAGAACTTCATTATCGGTCACCTTGGAAGCCTGAAAAATCAGGTGTCAGGAGAATTCATCAATCCAAAACAAAGGTGTAAAGGGCTGAACATTTGAATGGAAACAAAATATGATCGCAAACCTTAAAAAACATTTAACAGCAGCTATATGGTAATGGTCTACCTAAAGAAAAGAAATTTAATGACAAAAAAAAAAAAAAAAGAAAAAAAAAAGGAAGAATGATATGCAAACAATTGCCAAAAGCTCAAACAATGAAAAGATTCCCTGTGCCTCTAAAAATTGATTAGGATCTTGAATCGATGGTTATCATAGTGGTGAGAAAGATTGCGCCCGGGGAGACCTTTGGGTCATAGAGGAAGGAGGTTGTATGCAGAACCTTTTCTTTGTTGGAACAGAAAAGACACATGTGCTCATATTACATTCAACAGGGAATAGCCAAAGAAAGTGAATGTCAGTAGCACATTGCTCGAGAGGACATTGTATAGGAACATCGAAGGATCTTTTATTACGAATAGCCAAAACATATGGAGTATCCTAGCAAACATCAATGCAATGTGAAGAGAAACATAGACAAGACATCATTTTTTTTGTAGGAATAGCCCAAAAGGAGCAGATCAAGTGCCAGAATGGGAGCACACCATTCCCTCAACAGGGCAGCAATTTGGCATTCAGATTCGCTCCTCTTTTTTTTCCGAATCTGCTGACAGTGATAGAAATTTGAAAAGTATCCTTTCTCCTTAAGTTATGGTGGAAAAATGCAATGTACATCAACTAAAATCTCTTCAGATTTCTTAAAATGATCTTGGTTACTGCATCGAAATATCAGAACTAAGGGAATAAAGCATCTATTTCTTATCTTTTTATAAAGGCACTCCAATAAGTATGAAGGTTTCAAGGTTGTGACCCTGACTTATTCATCTATAATTAGGTGATTGCTACCAGAAAGAAACAGTAAATGCTAGTACTGAAACAAATTGTACTAGCTGTTAGTATAAGATAAAACATCTACCTGTGGATTACGAATAAGCTCCTTGAGAATATCATGAAGAGTCAGCCGGAGTTCCTTAAATAGCACAGCTGTTTGTGCAGGCGCGGCAACTTCTAGCCATCCATCTATGGTAACTGTTCCAGTCTGGAAACGAATAATTACAAACTATTTAGAAAAAGAGATAAATATCACCAAAATACTACAAAAACAGGTGAAAGACATGACTAGGAACCAACAAGAAGAAAATATTCCTCAAAAAGGACAAATAATTACAAGTATATAGCAAACAATTAATGTTGAAACATATGTGAATGGTTTCTAGCCTTTTTTTCCTGCATAAAACTGCAATAATTAGGAATTGAATTGGTAAGATCTTGCTAACATTTGAGGCCAATCTGGACCCAAGGTAAAAGATTGACTCAATTTTCCGCAGAATCATGCCTTCGAAATTGAGAAGTCCAAAAGGAAAGCTCTTTAGAGAAAGTATGCTACTTCCACAATTTTATCAGATTTCCCATGAAGGACGTCAGGGGAAGTATGCTACTTTTATACTAGTACTTGATACCAGTTTCCAGAGTAAGAAACTGCCCCCAATTCTCCTAAATAATAGTAGTAAAAACAAATTATATTGGTTGTTTTGGAAGTGATGCACCTGTTTTACTTTTTCCGCCTTTACTTTCCTCTTTTCGAGAGGGTATAGGGATTAAATGAAGAAATACCCTACTTCTGCATTGAAAACCATGGAAGCAAAACCAATGTAAAGGAGAGTGTACTGAAGAACACAATAGAGCATTTTTATTTTAGCATTTCGTAGCACAAATGCTCAATCTTCCTTGATAAATAAACAACAAAGCAAATCATCATTTTTTTTTTAGATAAAGGTAACTGTGTATTCATAGTTCTCAACAGTTCTTGTTTCCTTTTCCTTTTTTCTCTGACTTTGCCAGGTAAGGCTCCTACACTGCTGTCACTAGACAGCATAAGATGGACAACGCTTCAAAGTTTTGAGTGACAGTTGAGAAAATTTGGAAAATGAAATTTGACACCTACTACAAATTGAGAAATAAGAAACAAGAACTTTCAAGTTATGGAAAAGAAAAAGTAGGGTATGCAAGCATGGCCATAAACAAAAGATACCTGGTGCTGAACGTTTATTGGGCCACCAAAAAGCAGTATAGTATAAGGAGAGACAACAGTAGTGTCTCGCAAAAATACCTTGTTAGTTTCTACCTGAAATAATAGCATAAATAAGAATTACATCTTAGAAATGGTGCAACAAAATATATAACTTGAGATAAAATTTGACTATGTAAAATAATTAGTCAATAAACATTTTGAAATACAGAACGTGAGTCAAATAGTTAAGGTGAACAATTTGAATACGTTTACTATGAACTCACAAAGAGAAAAAGAAGACATCTTTACCCGATTTGAACTCTTAGATACCCTTTCACCAGGGACTCAAATCCCACAATTTCAAAACAAACTACTCCCTCTGTCCCAATTTATGCGACTCACTTTCCTTTTTGGTCAGTCCCAAAAAGAATGACACATTTCCTTATTTGGTAAATATTTAATGACATTATCCCTATTTTACCCTTCTTGAATCTCATTATTTCAATAGTTGCACTCTTTTAATTTAAAGAAAAAGTTATTGAAATGCAGTAAAGTACAAATACTTTTCTCTTTTTCTGACAGTCAACAATACTTTAAACACTTTTTTCAATACTTTGTTATAACCTTTTCTTTCTTTTCACCACTTTATCATATTCTATCTTTCTTTTACACTAATTATTAATAAGGGTATTTTCGGAACATTGTAGAATCTTTCCATTTTTCTTAAAATTTGTGCCAAGTTAAAGTACCTCATATAAAATGGGACGGAGGGAGTAATATTTAGAGAAGTAAACAGAAGAACCTAGGAATTACCAGCCCCATCCTTCAAATTAGAGTACCTAAAGTAGTACTTGTTTGTCAAAGTGGATTTTGATAGGAACTTATAATTAACTATAATTTAGTAATGTGTGACCATCTCATCTAAAAGCACACTTTTATTTACTTATATTTTTTCTCCACACGCTCCTCCATGTGCGAGCTTGATTCTTTTTCATGGGCCAAGCATGTGAAAATGCCTGGCTTTTCTTTGTTTATCCCAAACAAAAGGGACAAAGGTGTTTAGTGAAAACAACGAATTTCATAAAGAAAAGACACCTACAAATTCCTATCACCTTAAGCGACAGAAAGAAGCAACACTTAATGAAAGCATGGAGGACATCCATAGATAAGCTCAGAGAAACCAAATGTTAGTTTTTCAGAGTAAAAGATCATGAAAATGCAAACCTTTTCAAGAAAGACGAGAAATGGGTACTGAAAAGCTTTTAAGTCAGAGTTGATTGAGGAAGGGTGAATGTGAACTTCTCGTTTTCCATCATACCACGCAGGGTTACTCTTTGCTGAAACATTTGCACTCTGTTTTAGGTTCCCAAGAGCAGTTGTAGCAATGCCTTCTTCTCTCGCAGATACATTGGGATACAGACCTGCACACAATATGGCCTAGACACATTTATAGAGGATTAGTATCCAAACAAGTCAAAGAGGTAAGTAAACCGAAATTATAACTAGAGTGAAATAATCTCCCTCACTCTATCTCTTGACCCCTCCAAAATCCTATATATCATATTTGCTATGTGAACACATGCATTTAGCTTGCATATGCCCCTTAGGGATCGTTTGGTAGGATGTATAAGAAAAGTGTTCAACAAGGTGTGTTAGTAATGCTGGGATAGATAATGCAGGGATTAGTTATGTTGTCGTTATTTCTTATTTTTGGTTTGATGTATTAAAAATAACACGCATTGCATAATTTCTAAAAGAAATGTTTATTTACAAAAATATCATCCACATTCTTTAGCTCTGTACACTTTCAGGGACAATTGTGTCTTTAGCCATGTTAATACATGCATTAATAACCTTGATTTGCTAATTGGTTACGCATAGCATAATACCATATAGGGTGTATCACCAATACTTGCATTAGCAATACATAGGTTGAAAAAGTGTACAAAACATGGGATTTGTAATACCAAAACTAATACATGCGCTATTTTCTCTAATACCTTCTACCAAACGACCCCTTAGGGTAATAATTAATGCCATTATAGGCTTTACAGAAGACCTGCCTTAGTGACAGCTAGGATATTAAGAAGCAAAAAATCTTTCTGGAAAGAAGTGTTAATGCCTTCTTCTCAAACAGAGATCTGCGAAAAGCAGTAGATACTGGGCTTGGAACATCTCACCAGGTGCGTGCTACAATGGTGATCTTGAAACTGTAAATTCTCAGTAGGATATTTCTCTTCTGCTAAGTGGTAGTGATCATGTAAACAGAATCCAGAGGGTGTAAGAACTAAGAAGTTCCATTATAACTCTATGAATGTAGAGTTACCTTAGCATTATTCCAGAACAGAAGTGATTCATTCACACAAATTTACATGGAATTCGAAATACTGGGCAATAATCCTTGGTGTCATTGATTGCACTTTATCTGAACTAAATCGATAGTCTATTGGAGCAAATTGTGCTATTATCATTTATCTCATTGTTTTTATGAATGGCTACACATGAGATAATTTTTAATTATTATTTTTTGGATAGGTGTGACACATGTGGTTAATCTTAGAATTAGCCATCAATACAGCAAATCAACAAACAAATTGGTATGGTGGAACAAATTCTTCTGGGGCAACGACGTTAACAAAATACTTGCTTTATTCTCTACTAAAATTTATTACAGGTCTGAGTTCAATATATCAAGAGAATTATGACCCAATATATATATATATATATATTTATATATATGAAAGTTCTCACACCTTTTTGTTCCATGCTATGCACCAAAATCAATAACATGGTATTCTTACCAAATCCCTTTCCCCGTCCCAAGTCAAGGGAGATCCACACATCTTAATTAATGATCTCTTTAAATCTCTATTCTGTAACATAGAAATAAGAGACAACCCCCATATCTTTAACATTTTAACTGAAGCCCAATTGCAGATTCAAGGGTAAATAACAGACATCCTTCTGGCATGAAGGAAACCAACATATGAGACCTACACCGAGCCCTATCCTATCAAGTTTGAGACTCTGAAGTGAAAGGGAACAGCTAAGCTTTAACGTACCTTAAGAACTGAGGAATAATTTGAATTTATATTAAAAGGTTGTGAAATATCAGAAAGCCAACTGCCAAGCTTCTCTTTCTTTTTCCAATCAACCTGCATTCAAAAATTATTTCAAAGTTAAAACACTATAATATTGGGAAATATGATTTCCAGCAGGAAGAGAGGAGAGAAAAACTAAATCGTCTAAATACTTGGTAAATTTTACAGGTTTAACCATTTGATAACATGATAAATCCATTGAAACTGAAGGCATAAATTGGAGTCCACAAGTTCAACCAGAGTTGGCACGTAAGTGATAACCAGTCAAACCACCCTCAAATCAGGAAGACTGAAATCAAACAACTCTCTGCTGTGACAACTGACAACACAGGTCATACTTTTGCAGACTAAACACCAGAAGATATCCCTACTGTGAAAAATATAGGAAAAGAATATTATTGAATTGTTGTGTTGTTTACATTATTACATTGAGATCCTATTTATAGACACCCTAGAATACAATCCTTTACCAAGTAGGATACTATTTAGTATTCCTATTTCTATTTCTATTACTATTCCTATTCTAATAGGATTGTATAAACCTATTCCTATTCTAATAGGATTGTATAAACCTATTCCTATTCTAATAGGATTGTATAAACCTATTCCTATTCTAATAGGATTGTATAAACCTATTCCTATTCTAATAGGATTGTATAAACCTATTCCTATTCTAATAGGATTGTATAAACCTATTCCTATTCTAATAGGATTGTATAAACCTATTCCTATTCTAATAGGATTGTATAAACCTATTCCTATTCTAATAGGATTGTATAAACCTATTCCTATTCTAATAGGATTGTATAAACCTATTCCTATTCTAATAGGATTGTATAAACCTATTCCTATTCTAATAGGATTGTATAAACCTATTCCTATTCTAATAGGATTGTATAAACCTATTCCTATTCTAATAGGATTGTATAAACCTATTCCTATTCTAATAGGATTGTATAAACCTATTCCTATTCTAATAGGATTGTATAAACCTATTCCTATTCTAATAGGATTGTATAAACCTATTCCTATTCTAATAGGATTGTATAAACCTATTCCTATTCTAATAGGATTGTATAAACCTATTCCTATTCTAATAGGATTGTATAAAC